GCTGAAATACCTTAAAGCATAAATGCAGGTGATTATACCCAACTGACATAAAGGAATAAAACATTCTGTGTAAAAAAAAACAACAAAACAAGTTTTCAAATACAAAATGAAATCTTTCAACAAACTGATACAGCACTGGAGCCACGTACTCATTTATACCAAAGAATTTGGAAGACCAGGCCAACGGATTGGAAGAGATCCATATTTGTGCCATTCCAAAGAGAAGTGACCCAATGGAATGCAGAAATCATAAAACAGTATCATTAATATCACATGCAAGTAAAATTTTGCTGAAAACATTTTGAAAATGGTTGCAACAGTGTGTCAACAGAGACCTGCCAGAAATGCAATCCATATTCAGAAGAGGACGTGGAACGAGGGATATCATTACTGGCATCAGATGGACCTTGACCAAAAGCAGAGAATGCCAGAAAGATGTTTACCTGTGCTGTATTGACTATGCAAAGGCTGTCCACCATGTGGATCATGACACGCTATAGATAACATTGCGAAGAAATGGGTATTCAAGAACACTTAATTGTGTTCATGAAGAGCCTGTACATAGACAAGAGGCAGTTGTTAGAACAGAACAAGCAGTTATTGAATAGTTTAAAATCAGGAAAGGTGTGTACCAGGTTTATATAGTTTTTTCACCATTCTTATTCAATCTATATGCTGAGGAAATACTCGGAGAAGTTGGATTATATGAAGAATGTGGAATCCAGATTGGAGGAAGACTCATTAACTCCCTGGTATGTGTAGATGATACAACCTTGTCTGCTGGAAAAGAAGAGGACTTAAAATGCTGGAGAAGATCAAAGACCACAGCTGTCAGTAGGGATTGCACCTCAATGTAAAAACAAACAAACAAACAAACAAAAAAAAAACCCCTCACATTTGGGCCCATAAATAACATCATTATAAATGGAGACAAGATTGAAGTTGTTACAGATTTCAATTTTCTTGCATCCACAATCAACACCTATGGAAGCAGCAATCAAGAAATCAAATGGCATATTACATTAGGCAAGTTTGCTACAAAAGACCTATTTAAAGTTAAAAGAGCAAAGACGTGAGTGTGAGGACTAAGGTGCACCTGACCCAAGGCATGATATTTTCAATAACCTCATATGCATGTGAAATTTGCACAGTGAATATGGAAGACCGTAGAAGAATTGATGCATTTGAGGTAAGGTATTGCTGGAGAGTATTAAAGGTACCATGGACTGCCAGGAGAAGTACAGCCAGAATGTTCCTTAGAAATCAGGATTCTTCATACTTTGTACAGGTTATCAAGAGAGGCAGTCTCTGGCGAAGGACATCATATTTGGTCAAGTGAGGAGTCAGTGAAAAAGAGGAAGACACCCTAAGCAGACAGATTGATACAGTGGCAGCAGTAGTGAGCTCAAACGTAGCAACAACTGTGAGGATGATGCAGGACCGGGCAGTGTTTTGCTCTGTTGTACATGAGATCTGTATGAGTCAAAACCAACTCTACGGCACCTAACAATAACAACAACAACAAAAAACACAATTTAATTTGTAACAGTGGAACAGCAGGTGAAACGAATAAAATCTGCAAAATGGCTGATGGTATTAACCAAGAAATTACCTTAATTTTTTTAGTTTAGATAACTGCATTTTGGTTTTATGAGATTTTAACATTAGAGAAAGCTAGGTAAAATGTTTATACGAACTTTTGTTGTAAGTCTGCAATAATATCTAAATAAAAGGCTTTTGTTTTTAAAATTTGTAGGGTCTGAGTTGTTGGGCACTTCTCACGATAACCTCCTGTACTGAAAATGTGTCATTTCTTTTCAATGCCATGCTGTCCATTTCACTTGCTGTGTCCCTTGCTGTGCCTTGCATCTCAACAGTTCCTCAGAACCCTGTAGGGGGTGTAGGCTCTCGGGTTATGGATGGAAACACCAGGGGCTGAACCTCCTGTCAGCATGCACTGGTCTAGGCCAGGAGGGGAAGCTCAGCAGAAGGGATGTGGGGTCTGAGAGACCTGGGGAGGTTCCAGGGGCTGAGGGAGGTGCTGAGGTCCTGACTTGAACATCTGTCCAGAGACTTCCGCAGAAACTGCTGATGTTAGGCTTCAGCTTCCTGTTGTCAGGGCAAAGGGTAGTAAACTCAGACAGGGGACACCCAGGTCTTAGAGGAAATGAGAGCTTTGCAAAGATGGGAGCCAGAGCGTATCAAAGTCATGAGGACATACACACAGCCCCATGGATCTGCTCCAGCTACCGTTCCTGCACTCTTAACCACCTATCTTGCTCAGAATGACTGCTTGGTGCAGCCAGGCCCTGAGAGAGACACGCAGACATGTAAACTCCCTCATGGACATGCATGACACACATACACACAGTTCACACAGACACTCTAGCACCTGCCCTGGTGCATGTCCAGGCAGGGGTATGAATCCCACCCTCCTAGCAGGCCTGAAGGGGCCCAAGGGAGGCCAAAGCAGGGGCACTGTAGTCAGGACAGGTTTCAGGGAGGAGAGAGCTGAGTGGACAAAGAGAAATGGAAAAAGGGGTGGTGTCTGCTCCCCACTCACTGTTTCCCAGCTTCTATCAGTTGTTCTGCCATCTCTGAGTACCTACTGCTGCTACTACTGCCCTCCTTAGGCCTAAAACTGAGGACAGAGTTCACAGAGTCCCCCCCTTGAGGGAGTAGCTGGCTTCTTGGGGGGCAATAAAGACTGGAGGGCCTGGGGGTCTGGCCTAGTGATGAGACAGCAGAGAGAGTCTGAGAGATCCCACAGCCATCAAGGCCTGACCCAGTGTGGGAGTACCAAGGAAGGGGCCAGGAAGGCCCAATAAGCAGAGCTCTCTGATCCCATGACCCTTACATGTGGAGACTCCCCCGGAATGACCAGGGCCAGGAAAGCTGTCCTCATGATGGCCTTGTTGTTGTTGTTGTTAGGTGCCATCGAGTCGGTACTGACTCATAGCGACCCTATGCACAACAGAACAAAACACTGCCCGATACTGGGCCAACCTCACAATGGGTGCCACGCTTCAGCCCATTGATGCTGCCACTTTGCCAATCCATCTCACTGGGGGTCTTCCTCTTTTTCTCTGACCCTCCACCTTACCAAACATGATATCCTTCTCCAGTGACTGGTCCCTCCTGACAATATGTCCAAAGTATGAGAGACGAAGTTTGACCATCTTGGCCTCCAAGGAGCACTCTAGCTGCACTTCTTCCAACACAGATCTATCTGTTGGTTCTTTTGGCAGCCCATGGCACTTCCAATATTATCCTTCAACACCATAACTCAAAAGCATCAACTCTTCTACAGTCTTCCTTATTCACTGTCCAGCTTTCACATGCATATGAGGTTATTGAAAATACCATGGTATGGGTCAGGCTCACCTTAGTCCTCAAGCTGACATCTTGTGCAGCAGATTTGCCTAATGCAACACGTTGTTTGATTTCTTGACTGCTGCTTCCATGAGTGTTAGTTGATCCAAGAAGAATGAAGTCCTTACCAACTTCAGTCTTTTCTCCATTGATAAGAATGTTGTTTATTGGTCCAGTGATGAGGATTTTTGTTTTCTTGACATTGAGATGCAATCCATACCGAAGGCTGTGCTCTTTGATCTTCATCAGTAAATATTTTAAGGCTTCTTCACTTTCAGCAAGCAAGGTTGTATCATCTGCATTTCGCAGGTTGTTAATGAGTCTTCCTCTAATCCTGATGTCACGTTTTTCTTCATAGAACCTAGCTTCTCTGATAATTTGCTCAGAACTCGGGAAACCGTAGCTGTGTGGAAGACCTGGAAGCTCATATGTGCCCTTTCACAGCCTGGCCTGGCCTTGTGTGTGAGCTGTGCAGCCCTGGTCTGTGGATTGGTCTGGCCTTTTTTTCTACTGACCAAAGCCCACTCCAAACCATGCTGAGCCAAAAGGAGAAGTGGTCATCTTATAAAACTGAAAAGGCTGAATGGCCCAGGGAAGCTCCAGGCAAGGCAGCCCCAGTCCTCAGGATGCTGCCTCCCTCCTCTCAGATCCATGTTGGTCAAGTATTCTCCCTGCCCACTTTCTCAACGTTTTAATAAAGTTTCCAGAACTGAATCTCACTGTCTCGAGACAGCCTGTCTTGGCCTACATGCCCATCCTTGACCCAATCACTATAGCCAGAACACCCCCCGCCCCCCACCCCCACCCCCAGATTGCCACTCAGGGACCTAAGTGTGGGGAAAGTCGGGGCTTCAGGAAAGTAGGGGCAGAGCTTGTTTCGTAGAGATGAGTGCTGTTGAGTCATTTTCAACTCATAGTGACCCTGTATAGGGTTTCCAAGGCTGCAAATCTTTAAGGGAGCAAAAAGCCTCATCTTTCTCCTATGGAGCAGCTGGTGAATTCTAACTGCCGACCTTGTGGTTAGCAGTTCAACATGTAATTCACTATGCTACCAGGGCTCCTTGGATGGTGAAGGGAGGGGAGGAAAATGAAGTGTGTGGGAGTTAAGGCTGGGAGCCAGAGGCCAGGTGCCTAGTTGAGATTCCACTAGGGCCGGAAGGGCCAAGCAAGTTAGTGCTGGAGGATGGAGAAAAGCGAGTGCATTTAAGAGAGTAGGGTCTGATGATACGTAGGGATTCAGGTAGAAGTCTCTACCTCAGGTAGCTACTATTTCCTGGGGTCAGCAGGGTACACTGGAATAATGTTCCTGAGACAGCTGGATACATCCTGAGCAGGGTTTGGTGGACAGGCTTAGGTAGGCATGAAAGTGGCAGTAACAACTGGGAGGAAGTAGGTATATTGTCCCCTGCTCTTCCATGCCCTGGCTCCCTGTAGCCTTTGTTTCCGCCTTCGGCCTGGCCCAGCTCTCAGCTCTGTCTAGTCACAGTCACACCCTCATGCCCTTCCCCTGCCCTGAGAAGGGTGGGGAGAGCTAAGAGGCCACTCTTTTTTTGACCCAGCTGTGGCGCAGCAGCCTAGGGTTGATAAGAGCCCTGCAGCTAGCTCTCACACGCCAGCCCAGCCAGCCCGGTCCCAGCAGAGCTGCCAGCACCATGAAAGATGAGGTGGCTCTTCTGGCCACTGTCACCCTCCTGGGAGTCCTACTACAAGGTGGGCTGACTCCTGTCTGGGAGGCAGGTGGGCCTGAGGCCCTGGGGAGGTGCTGGTGGGGCCCTGGCCAGGCAAGAAGCAGAGGTAGATGCCTCCAGCCCAGGCTTGGGATGCCCCACAAGTGGCTGTGATGCCCAGAACGTCTATGCTGAAGGATTTGCACTTTCCCTGGAGGGTGGGTGTAGGGTGTCTGCATGGGCAGAGGACTGAGGCTGAGAGGGGTGGTGACTTAACCATGGGAGACCAACCAACAGCAGAATGGAAAAAGGTCCAGTATCTGACTTGAGGTTGGGGACTGGTGGCCCTTAGCTAGCATAAGGAACCCTGGAGGTAGGCAGGAGGTTTCATGACAGGTGGGGCAGCAAAGCTATCTATGTTGAGCTGGGTGGAGGGAAGATTGTCAGAACGAATGGTGGTCTGGTGGTCAGTACAGACATGAGATAGCTAAGTCCATTTTTTCCAGAGGAAAGAACTGTACTGGTACAGTCACCATAGTGCACGTATGTCGGCAGAGAGCCTGGCACCAAAGGCACTAGGGTCATAAAACCTGCCGGGAGATAGCAAAAACTGGGGATACCAAGTATTAGGGTATTGGTTGAGATGGGAGCTTGACCTGGGACCAAGAGAACCACAGGTCTAGTCCACCCACTGCACAAACCTATACTAACGTGGAAGGAGGTAGAGCCCTTGGGGTTCTTGAGTTAGACCTGGAGAGTCCCAGCTGTAACCACCTGGAGGCGGCAGTGTCTGTCAGATTTAGGCCAGGGTCCAGGATAGCTGGAACTGAAGGTCCAGGGCAATGAAATTTGGAGACCCAGGACACCAGGCTTCAGTGACTCTGGCCTGAGTCAGGATGGGCTCAGTATTTGGGGGACCTGGGACCATTATTCAAGGGTATGTGGTTCTCTGAACCTCTTGGTATGCAGCCAGCTCAGTCCTCAGACTCTGGTGGCAGTTCCTGGCCTGGGACTTCAAAGTCCATGCTAAGAGTCCAGAGCTGTGCATTTGCCTGTGTTTTGCAAGTCAAATATATCAGAAACAAAATCCTGTTTGGCCTTTCCCACAGACAGGTGTCCCTGTGCTTGCACTCACACCCCATTACGCTCATTAGGGACAGGGCCTCCCAACCCTGAGTTCAGCATGGTGTCACGAAGAGAAGGGAAGGCACAAGTCAAATTAGAGCGAGGGGCTGGAGGAGTCTGCAGGACTTTGAGCCGTTGGACCTGACTCCTGATTCTTTCCCCCACCCCGCAGCCTACTTCTCCCTGCAGGTGATCTCAGCGCGCAGGACCTTCCGCGTGTCGCCGCCGCTCACCACCGGCCCTCCAGAGTTCGAGCGCATTTATCGAGCCCAGTGAGGCGCAGGAGCGGGGTGGGGTCCAGCAGTGTGGGAGCCCTGGGCGGGGACCCGGCCTCACAACACTCTCATTGTGCCCGCCCCCGCAGGGTGAACTGCAGTGAGTACTTCCCGTTGTTCCTCGCCACGCTCTGGGTCGCCGGCGTCTTTTTCCATGAAGGTCTGGGGGCCAGGGCAGGGTACATGCACTGGAGGCCCGAGCGGGTACCAGCGAGCATGCTCACACCTCCCCACCCGCACCTCTCCCAGGGACGGCGGCGCTTTGCGGCCTGATCTACCTGTTTGCGCGCCTCAGATACTTTCAGGGATACGCTCGCTCCGCGCAGTTCAGGTGAGAACCGAGGTGGGCTCTCGGAAAGGGAAGCGGGACTGGAGAAAAGTCGCCCGTGGGCTGGGTACTGAGGGCTGGGATCCCAAGGGGACGGCGGAGCCTGGTCGGAGGCAGGGCCCTTTGGGGGAACAAGTAGGCAGGCCTAACTCTGCTAAGGCTGAACTTGGGTGCTAGCGTGTGGGCTGTTGGCGGGCTGTGCCTAGCAGAGCCCTTCCCCCTGCTGAGCACTGCCCACAGGCTAGCCCCGCTCTACGCGAGTGCACGCGTTCTCTGGCTGTTGGTGGCGCTGGCGGTGCTCGGCCTTCTTGGCCACTTCCTCCCGATTTCGTTGGGTGTCGCGCTCCACGGACGGCTTCGGATGCTGCTGCCGGGAACGCGAGACTAAGGACGATGACGGTGGAGCTGGGGGAGAGCCGGAGACTCCAGGACGGGGTGGGGAGGGTGTGGCAGAGGTGCTCGCCTCTGCGTTCCGGTCTCTAATTAAAAGTTCCCATGACCGATTCCAGGCTGTGCTTTCTGGGTCAGAGGTAGTTTCCCTGAGACGGTGATGCTGAGCTCAGAAGAGGGGCGGGATACCTGGATCGCCAATAAAATGATCTTGTCGGTTCCCACTTCCTTCCTGCTTAGGATGCCCTTTCCAGCAGAGATTCACCCACGGCTCCCTCTGCCTTCAGTACTCTATTCTATGACTTTCCCCCAGTCTTCATGACCTACACCAAAGCCTGTCAGCCCATGGACCAAGAGCAGGGATCCTTTTTGTCAGCACTCTGTTCCCAGCACCTAAAACGGTGCAGATGATCAGGGCACCCCTGCTAAGGTCCACAAAGCCTTGAGGATGGCTACTACTTAATGTAGGAAGGTTCAAGGAAACATCCAGGTGCCTTGAGGACAGATACCAGGAAGAAGGTCTACCGCCCAAACAAACCATCCCTAAGAAAGTGCTTTGCCAAAGGCAAAAACACAGAGGCAAGTGTAAGCAAAGGCCCTTAGGTGGGCAGAGATGGCTCATTTTAGGGACAGAGACCCTCATTTGTGGCTGAGACCAGGAAAGAGATGAGAAGTGTCTTGACCTACAATGAGGACAGAGCTGAAACCCACAGAGGGAGTAAAAGATGAGGAGGTTGAGGTATGCATTTGGTTTGAGGCACTCAGGCTTTGGTCTCAGGACAGTTGAGACTAGATGCCAGGGAACCTCCAACTGAAGCACTTTTTGGGTATCTTCACAGATTGGACAGGCTCCCTCCCGGATCCTCCCAAGAGGGTGAGGGCATGTAAGCTGAGTGGTTGGAGCATGGTCACTCCAGCTCCTTAGCTTAGCCAGAGAATTGGAGCTGGCAGAGTGGAGTGGGGGGGGAGGGGGGAGTTGTTTTTGGTGCCAGGCCTCCCCTATACCTTCACGGGTTACTCTAGGCCCAGGCTGGGACCACAAACCAGAGCTCCTGGCACTTACAGTTGAGGCACATACTTCATTAACCCTTTATTACAAGTCACGCTCTTATAGAAGTATATGTAGACTTACGTGAAAAAATCAAATGTATCCAAGAATAAAAAACACAGCACATAAAGTAGTATATGCATTCCAGTGTTCGCGCTGGAGACAGCGGGCGCCCAGGAAAAAGCTCTAAAACAGCCTGGCTGTCCAGGTCAGTGAGTACGTTCTGGGCGGCATGGGCCAGCCCTCAGGCACAGTGCGGGGGCCGCCTGCCTCCTCCGCAGCCCCAGTGGCGGGGCAGCACCAGCTCCTGGGGCCTCTGGGCCGGCAGTGGACCCCAGGCCGCCTAGGCCCTGCACCAGGCAGAACCCTTTAAACTAGGGCGGCCGCGCCTGGTTCTCCCTGGGCAGCAGCGACAACATCGCGGTCCCGTGGGCTTCAGGTACTGCACAATACATTCTCAAAAGTTCTTGACTTAGTCGGCCTTTTTCAGAAAGATCTGGAAGAGTGAGGCTCAGAGTCATCAGGGCTTGAAGCAACTGGCCTAGCCCAGCTACTGTTCCCTGCACCCTGCCCACCTTACCTCACTCAGAATGACCCACACTGGCGAGTCTGTCTGGATGGAGAGGCGCAGTGCTTCCAGGGGGCCAAAAGCAGGGTCCACTTCACCCTCAGCCACACCTTTGTGGAAGGAGCCTAGGGAAAGGAAGTACTGAGAAGTTGCCCTAGAGACCCCACCCCCATGAAGCCTGCTTCTCAGCCCTGCCCTTCTTCCACCATACTTACTGATCTGCAGGTAGCCATCAGGGCTCCGTGGATACCGGAGAGTAGCTGAGCGGCCCTCCTGCAGGGCTTCCTTGTCTGACTGGGGATTCTGGGGACAAAATCAAGGGGCTAGACCTCCATGACTGGAGATGAGGGCAGACCTCAGTGCCCACCCATGCCCACCACACTCACATCAAAGGGCAGCACCTCTACAGAGGTGTTGAAGAGCTTGTCCTCTGGGTGTTCGATGTTCCCACTGCGGAAAAAGAACCTGCGCCAGACAGGCCTATGAGCTGCTGCATGATGGGGCCGTAGGTACACTGCCCACCGTAAAGGCAAGGCCTGGACTAGGAGGGCACTGGGTGGGTTCCAGGGTGCAGGGAGAGACTATACACAGTCACCAAGGATTTACTCACAGGGACAATGGAGATGGGCAACACTACTGAGCTCCTATGGGTACTGTCACCGTAGTCTTTACAAGTTAGCTACAGTTATGTATGAGCCCCAGTTTTCAGGGAAGGAAACTGAGGCAGAGTGAGGTTCAGTAATCTGAGGCAGGTCATGAAGGGGCACCTGTAGGCCCAGAAATCTGAGGTGAGGCCTGTATCTCGGGCGCTAGAGACTCCTAGGATCCCGCCCCCAACATGGGTACTGGCACTAACCTCTCAAGGCGAAGTGGCTGGAAGAAGCGGAAGCGGATGAAGTCCCCTGCAGCAGGTGTGAAGGCCCAGAAGAAATCCTCACGCAAGTAGGCCTTCTCCAGAGTGAAGTGCTGGTATGTTTTGAGACTCGTGCTCACCTCCGCGGGTGGGTTGACATGCTCTTTCCGAAGTGCCTGCTTCCCAAAGTCCTTGTCCTGTAGCCATGGAGGGACAATGGTACTAGGGCTGTAGTCCTGGGCCTGCCCTGCTGTTCCTCACCTGCCCCAGCCTGGACCCCAGCTCAGACTCTGCCTAGATCAGCCTGGTGGGCCCAGTGAGTGTGTGACTCAGCACACCTTCAGTTTCTGGATCTTGCCAGCCAGTGAGGAGTGAGTGCCCACATGCTGGAAGAGGGATGGCTTGAAGCGGATCCGAAGGTTGGCTTTCTGCCTGTCACAGTGCTTCTGTGGAGGGAGGGAGACACCCTGGGGTCAGGCTGGCCTCCCAGGGCAGGGTCTCACTTGAGATCAGCCAGGAGCCTCCTGAAGCAGGGTCACACATGTGGACATGGACCCATGGAGGCTACAAGTGTCCCATCCTGCCCTGCCTCTATGCAGCCCAGGCTCACCGCATCCTTCTCAGGGTTGCAGACCTTCACCCACAGAATATGGTCTAGGAGCCAATCGATGGGCTTGTCCCGGTAGAACATGAGGATGAACTCCACAATCAGGCTCAGGTCCAGCGACTTGAACATCTTCCCTGTGTGGGGTGTGCGAAGGTAGGGAGGGGCTAAGTGGGCAGAAGCTACCTTGCTCTACTTCCTCTTCACTCCTATGAAAGCTACTGGTAAGCAAACCCAAGGAGATAGTCTGCCAGCCTCAGACAGGTGTGGGTACAGGAGATAAATGGGGTGGTGAAGTCAGAATACATGAGGGGTTGAGATGGGCACGCCAGGCAAGGCTTGGATATGGGCAAAGATTGGTAATCGTGCTACACCTCATGGTCATGGGAGCAAGGAGCAGGACAGGGCTAAGAGATGACAGAGGAAAAGAGGTGGGCTGGTTGGAAGGCAGGTGTGTGATAGGGTGGAATATACCAATAAAGCCAAGCTGAGAAAACTCCAGGATCATCCAGTCCTCCGAGGGTTGCTGGAGGGCAAAGTTCTTCATGGTGCTCAGGTAGTTAGGCTTGGCTACAATGTCATCCTCCAGCTGTACAAGCAAGAGGGCAGAACAGGGTGTACCACTGAGATCTGGCTGGGACTCAGGATGGGTATAGCAGAGCAAGGCTCAGCACCAAGGCTCAACCCAAATCCAGGGGGATAAGAGGCAAAAAAAAGGACAGGCCCTGACCCCACACACCACCCTCTAGGAAAAGCAGGGCACAGGCTAACCTGCACGTAGTAGATGCCTTTGGACTGTGCATACATCATGAGGAAGCAGTAATCGAGGTTCTGTTTGGTCCTCCACCTGTGAGCCAGGGGCAGGACAGGGGCCTCAGGGGCTCAGACCCACAGGATTCCTCAACCTCCAGTGAGGCTACTACCACCTGGGCTATCAAGGGCTACAGAAAGGTCACTGAATGGGAGGAACCCAGCCCCACCCTGCAGGGTATGGAGAATGAGGGATATTGCCGGGAAGTCCTGGGACTTGGACCAATAGACTGGGTTCTCATCACACATGAGTGGGCAGGTTGCTGGGGTCCCAGGGAAGGTCCAGTACCTGACTCTCTCTTTGGGGTCCCCAAAGGACTCGCGGAGACGGGAGAAGTCAGGGTAGAAGTGGGGGGAAGGGGAGATGACTTCCAGGAGCCCAGAATGGATCTCCGTGGGGAACCTGGGGGATAGGAAGGCCCAGTGAGTATGCAGCCTTGGGGACTGAAAGCAGGAATGGGTAGCTGAGTGGGACTAAGCCAGCTAGATCTTCTCCTTTACCCAAGTCTCACCAGGAAGAAATCCCCCAATACCATGCCCAGTTTCCTGAGGCACTGGAGCTCAGAAAGGGGTTAGGCCACATCTAAATAGCCACCCCTTCCAGATGACAAGAGAAGTTCCCTCCCCTGAAGCACTGCCTTGTGGGGGAGGCAGGCTGTCAGCAGATCCTCCCTCCACCACCTTTGTCAAGCTTCCAGTACTCACAAGGCCTTGATGTTCTCTGTTACTGCCGAGGTGTACTGAGGGTCAGTCTGTGGGGAAACCAAGCACTCTTAAGTAGAGCCTCCACCCATAGAGATGCATGTCCACACATAGAGAGAGTCAGTCCCTCCCTGGTGGCTCTCACAGGAGAGCTGGACCTGGGTCTCTGGGGGGCCAAAGGAGACTCAGAAAAAGCCCTTTGGGGTACATTGAGTAGTCTAGGGAAAAATTCTAGATAGTGGCACTTCCACAAGGGGGAGCTAGAATGCTTATCACTTTCTATCTTGATTTGTGAATTATCCTGACAGTCAAACTTCTGATAGTTTTTCACCTGGTATGTTGTTCTAGTTTTATTTTTTGTTATTCGGCACCATCTGTCTTTCTCTGAATGTCCTCTCCACCCCATGCCCCACTCGCCTCGGCGATCAGCACCACGATGACAGAGTCTTCTTTCTCCTGCGGGCTCAGTTCCGATATGAGCGAGTGCAACGTGTCTGTCAGGTACGAGTGAACCTCGCGCCGAACACTCGGGATGCCCATCACCACTGACACTGCAGGGGTCGCAGGGACGATACTGGGCACGGTACCAGGGACCACCACACCACCAGCCTCTCGCCCTTCCAGGGCCCCGCCCTTACCTCCGGTGCGGCCCTGGCCCACACGCACTGCCGGCTGCAGGCTGCTTTCCTTGGCCAGCAGGTGCGGCAGGTGATGGAAGACAGTGGGCAGGTGCAGCACATGCTTGTGCGACACGTTCCACGGTTTCAGTCGTGGATCCTCTGTGTGAGTGAAGAAGACACAGGTCAGGTAACTGCAGCCTGCAACCAGCCTCCCTCATTCTCTCCTGGCCGGGTGCTCACCTGTTAGGCGACCCCAGGTGCGATTGCTGTCTCCATCACGCAATGCCTGCCTTTCTGACACAGCCCTCTTGATCTCATCCAGCACCAGGTTGAGCTCCTTGGAGCGTTTGAGACTCTCCTGCTCAGCCGCGTGCAGCCGGTCTCGCAGCGCTAGGAATTCCCGCTGGTACACGTCCACAACGTCGCCTGTGGGCGGTAGCACAGGCTCTCCAGGGCGTGGCCTAGAGCCAACCTACCATCCCGTGCCAATGAGATAGCCTACCTGTATGTTTAGGTGCTTGCTACAAGCGAACTATCCAGAGATTCATAAAGTCACACCAAGAGTTAGGAAAGTCATGTTGGGGAGCAAAAAACAAATGCTGGCCTGCTGCAGCTGAGGCATTTGGGCACAGCCCCCAGGGTGGCTCTGAGTGGCTAACTCACAGAGGGGAGCCTTGGGAGCAGGGGCAAGGGTCCTTGCTTTGTGTCTTTTAACCTTTTCTCTGCAGCCACTTACCACAAGTTGACACCGGTCTTGTTTCCACTGAGAAGTGTAGCTTAACAATAGATCACTGCAAGTGTGCCTTAACAATAGGCTAAAATCTTCATTCTGATGCCTGAGTCGATAAGCACTGGACCTAATCACAAGGTCAGGGGTTCAAATCCACTAATCGTTCCTCAGAAATCCTATACAGAGTGTAAGTCAGAACTCAGTGGCACTTAACAGGGGGATTAGCCTTCTTCCAGCCCTATCCCCCTTTAAGGAGGCACCTGAAGAGGGAGGGCCCAGGGTATCACTGACAGCCAGGTTTCTGTGGGGGCAAGTGTGGGCAGAAGTTGGTGGAAGGGTTTTGGATGGGCTGAATCCTATATCTCTAGTGGCTCCCAAAGCTTTCTCATTCCAGAGGGTGGGGCACCCAAGGTCCCATCCAAGGCACAAGGACCTGACCCTTCCTCAAGGGACTCCCCAACTGCCTAATACTCTCCTCTCAGCACCTGTGCTTTGCCCTCCTTCCATCATGGGCAAGGTCACAGGTAGCCCCATCCCCATGTGGGGACAGGCTTCCTCCCTAATGGGACTGCACTTGGCACAGGGTTTGTGACAGTATGCAGCTGGGGCTTATCTTTCACTCTCCTCATTGTCCTAACTGTCATTCATCATATACTGGGGACATGCACTAGGTTCTCATTCCATGTCATAACAGCCCAAGGGGTGTATACTGCACTTACAGCCCCCATTTCTCAGATGGGCAAGTAAAGTTCAGAAACAAGCTTGGATATGTCTGACAGAAGACATAAAATGTGGTATATCCACACAATGGAAATGAAGTCCTGAAACACGCTACAATCTGGATGAACTTGAAAACATTATGCTAAGTGAAATACATCAGATACAAAATGACAAATATTGTATGATCCTTTTTGTATGATATATCTAGAATAGGAAAATGTGGAAGAACCCAAATTTATTAGTGGTTACAGGAGGTGGGAGAGAAAGGAAAACAGGAAGTCACTGCTTAAAAGGCACTGAGTTTCTGTTAAGGGTGATGGGGAAAAATGTGGAAATGGAGAGTGGAAAATGTTGTCCAATATGTTGTTGTTGTTAAGTGCGGTTGAGTCAGTTTGAGTTCACAGCAACCCTGTACAGGGTTTCTGAGGCTGTGAATCTTTACAGGAGCAGAAAGCCCCATCTTTCTCCCATGGAATGGCTGGTAGTTTTGAACTGCTGACCTTAGGTTAGAAGCCTAACTCATAACCACTACGCTACCAGAGCTCCCTGTTGCACAATATAGCAGTAGATAGGTATATAGTAGGGACAACAACACTAGTAAGGTACGCTCACCGTGGAATTGACAGTCATTCAAAATCAAAACTGCAACATTTGCCTAAGGACAAAGTTGAGAAAGGATGGGAAGGTGGGTGGAATGCAAATAGGAACCCCAGGGAGGAAGCGAGATAATTATTGTTGCATGGAGGGGACTGTTATTGTAACTATTGAGCTGAAACAAAGTGTATAATTTGTTGAATGTAAAAGTAACTGATGATCTTCTCTGTAAATCTTCACTCAATTCACATGAAAAAGTTTAGAAAATGTAGAAATGGCAAATGTTGTGTGTGTATATATATTTATAAAACCACTGTAAAAATAAAAGGAAAAAAGTCCAGGGTCAGCAATAGAGAAGAGACATGAGCTCTGAATACACTGATGTCTATGTCTCCAAAATCCTATGTAACGTCTGGACCACTTGGAAGACTGTCTGCACCATCCAGAGGACCCTTATCAGAACTTTCAGCTAGGCCCCAGTTGGTAGCAGCTAGCCCCAGAACACTACAGCAGCTCCCCTTCCCCACACACACACCCAGGAGACTGCCTGATGGTGGAGAGGGGTCTCCAGGGTGCCAAGTGCCTAGTTCTGCTGGTCTACAGGGACCAGCATGTAAAAATGGAATAAACAACATCCTGCCAGCTGGGTGCCAGCAGTTTCTGCTGGGCTCCACTCAAGGCCTTTTCTAATCTAGCTTTTGTTCCCTTTATTTGCTATCACCCATAGCTCCTTTTCCTTGTCTAATATCTACAACTTTGTACAAGGGAGTCCCTTTTCTCTTCTAGGTCTAGTGAGGATTTATGTAGCCTTGAAGACCTAGTTTTAAAGTCTCTTAAGTCTAGGAGACCTTCCAGAATTCCTGTCTCACCTTGGGGGCAGCTCATCTATTCCTTGATCCCTGGTGGGTTCACAGTCTCCTGCCTAGCAGTGGGCCGTAGGAGGGTACCACTCCCACAGGACTGTGCATCAAAGGTAATGAGCAAGGCAAAAGTCCAGTCACCTTGGACACGCCCCCTTTCAGGGGCAGACAGCTAAGTGATAAGTCCCAGGGGAAGAGGAAAGCTGAAGGAAAGGCAGTCAGGGGCTTGGAGTCACAGGGGAGGCCGGAATAGGATTGGGCTAGAGCCAAGTGGATCTTCCCAGAGGCATCATATTTCGTTCCCACCTACCTCATCCCTCTTACTCTGCCCCTCCCCACCCTACTCCCAATTCTATCCAGAGGGATCTAAAGGTTAAGGCTCACAGAACTATGGGAGGGAGGAGGTTATCAAATTGGGTTACAGATCTGTGAGGCTCCTGGGAGAAAGGCCACCTCTGAAACTTAACTGCCCAGTGCTGTGCACACACCCCCACACCAATAGGAAAGGACCCTCAGAGGGAATTAAGAGCCCTCTGGGATGAGGCAGATAACTCCCTTTTGCCTGCTGCACTTCAGGCCACTTACCATAAGAGCCTATGGGCCCTAAGTCCTGGGTCCTCACTGGAGCAACCCTTGGGCTATGGCCACACATAGCCTGTGTGTGGTGGGGTCACTCTAAAGTGGGAGGAGGGTGAAAAGAGCTCAGCCACCTAGGTCTGGACACAACCTGCTCCCTAACCTTGGTCTCCCTTCCCCAGCCTCCAGCCCAGTTTTGGGCTTCCTGTGTACCAAGAGGTGATGAACCCCATGGGTAACTGGGCTTTGTTCCTGCCCCATACCTACCAAAGGTTAACCCTTTATCGTTTTCCTGAACACTACAGGCCCTGTCTCTCAACAGTCTGTCCCTGCTCTGACTGCTGTCTGCAAGCCCTCCTGCCAGACCTTCATTCCTGGCCTTTCTAGTGGTGGGGCCATTCTATCCTTGATTGTCAAGGCCAGAAATGAGCTCTGTGCCCACTTTCTCATGGGCTGGGCTTTATGCCAAGCCATCCTGGCACCCCACAGCCCTTGTAGGGCTGGACAGAAGTAGTGAATGGGCTAGCAAGGTATGTAAAGGCCTGGGCTGGGCTGAGGCTCCTGGGAGCTGGGGCTGCAGAAATCTTAGCTCTGTCCACATCTTCCTACCCTAGAGAGGTTGGAAGTGGAAGAGAGGGTGTCTAGTCCCCACTGGAACTGCCACAGCTGGATGTGAGCTCTGATGGCTTTCTTACCCCATCCCCTGAAGGCAAAATGAACAGGACATCCTATGGCCCACCTATGAGGCTAGAGAGCCTTAAACCACCATCTTCTACATGGTTCCCTCTTGGATGAAGAAAATAGAATCAAGAGCCAAGCAGGAGCATTTGCACCCTAGCTGCACAAGACCTTTGTAAAGTGTTGAAGAGCAAAGATGTCAGCTTGAAGTGTCTGACCCAAGCCATGGTATTTTCAATAACCTCATATGCATGTGAAAGTTGGACAGTAAATAAGGAAGACCGTAGAAGAATTGACGCTTTTGAGTTATGGTGTTGGAGGAGAATATTGAAAGTGCCATGGACTGCCACAAGAACAGACAGATCTGTGTTGGAAGAAGTGCAGTTAGAGTGCTCCTTGGAGGCCACGATGGCCAAACTTCATCTTTCATACTTCGGGCATATTGTCAGAAGGTACCAGTCGCTAGAGAAAGATATCATGTTTGGTAAGGTGGAGGGTCAGAGAAAAAGAGGAAGATCCCCAGCGAGATGGATTGGCCAAGTGGCAGCATCAATGGGCTCAAGCATGGCAACAATAATGAGGTTCGCCCAGGATCAGGCAGTGTTTCGTTCTGCTGTGATACGGTTGCTATGAATTGGCACTGACTCGATGGCACCTAACAACAGTAACAACAAAAATTCTCAGGGGCACAGGCAGATGTCAGCCTTCAGGGAGCAGATGGTGACCTCCTCTCTAGGTCCCATATTCTTCAAGAACCAAGGAGGGTATCCATCATTCCTAAAGTCCAGGTTTCCTGAGATGTATGTATGGAGTCCTAGGGTGACACTTGGAAGTTCAATCTCACCAACCGCTCCTCAGAAACACTATACAAGGTTGCTACGAGTCAGAAGCTACTTGATGGCACTCAACAATAACAACAATGTGTGAGGCTGACCTTGACACTGGGGAAGGCTGTGTGACTGCCAATTCCTCCCTAGAATGGACCCTTATCTTGGCTAAGGGCTACAGTTTAAGGGCTAGCAGGGCTGTTTCAAAAACAAGACTGAATGTGAACTTGGACCCCAATCCCTGACCCTGGGGCACATGCCTGTTTCGTTTTTTCTTCGGAGTCTGCAGGAAGCCCCCATTCCTGCTCCCCACTTCCTCTCTGTCTCCCTGCCCTGAAGATTCTGATTCCTCTGCCCTTCCCCTAAGTTGTGATGTCTGGGTCAGTTTTATCCTGAGTTCCCCTGCAGATTGCAAACAGGAAGTCAGGGTCCAATCTGGCCTTAGACCAGCTCAACCTGGCATCATTACCCCAGCTGGACAGAGAGCTAGCTGCCAAATGTTAAGAATCACAAGGGTTCACATTGCAACCCTGATTTTTGGGTTTCTCTTGAGGTCTCCCAAAGACCTAGTTTGTCTGGGCCTTCACAAAAACAGTCACCCCCCCCCCTCCACACCTCACAGGCTGCTGGGCTTCTACTCCCCAAGTACTACGACCCCTCCTGCATCTGAATCCCACCCTTTATTGACTGGTGGTGTTCTATCCCCAGATCCTTGTAAAGCCTGCCTCACTGGGACTCCCCTACTCCCCAATGCTGGCTTTCTGTGGAGAGCCAAGGCTTCCAGAGTAGACTCCAGGGGAAGCCCTGCTTCACATCTTCTGCTATCAGGTGGGCATGTGGCTGCTGCAGGAAGCACACAGGAACTAGTCTGGCTGAGGATAGTTTTCATGAGCTCATCACCCACCCACAATAGGACAAATGTGCCCCAGCTCTTCAGCTATGGTCCCACCTAGGCCCGAGTGCCACCCCCACCATGCCAGTCTCCTGATGTTGCCACTCTCCCAAGGAACCTAAATGCCCTCCCTAGAGTGACATACTCTACCCACAGAGCCTCAAACCTAACCAAACCCTACTCAGGGAGATACATTACACCCATCGAAAACTCACCCCCTGCCTTTTCCTCCCAGGGATACCCCTCACAGGGCCCCTGGGTTGTGACGCTGGTATCTGAGCCCCATGCCCAGCCGGGCTTCTGCTCCAACAGTATGGCTGTAGTAGGCCGGGTTGTCAAGAGCTTAGTGAGTCATTGGAGCAAGGAGGGTTGCAAAGGCCCTAGCGCCTCCCAGCCCTCTTCTTCCAGTCTTATCTAGCATAGGGAAGGAGGGAGGCAGAGGTTCAGTTGGCCTCAGTTTGATCCTGCTCAAGCTTCCTACAGGAAGGCCAGGAGGCAGGAAGGAAGCAGTTTTCCCAGTGCCTCCTAGGCTTCAGGCTGGAGGGACAAGGGCCTTCTCTGAGGGCTTCCACAGCACTCCAATAGCAAGCAACTCCAGCCAGTGCTGGAGCCTGCCTCACTTCAAGTGTGCTGTTCAGGCTGAGAAAGCCAAGGTCAGCCTGAGGAGGGCCAGCCTGACCAAATTCCAGGTGGAAAGGTGGCCCAGTCAGACCACACAAAGGAAGTTAAAGAGCAGCGGAGCTGGACTGGCTACTCAGGAATCCATCCACTCAGGCCCTAGGCCAGTGGCCACATGTCATAAGAAGGTATCTAGCCATCTAGGTGCTTGAGGAAGAGTCCTGCCTCAGGAAGCTGAAGCAGCATCTGTGGTGGGCAGCAGAGGAGGGTGGCCTACATCTCTAGCTGCCTCCAACAAGTGTGGTGCTGCAGGATATTGCACTGGACAGAAAGGTTGGTTTGAACTGCAAGGTCAGTGGTTCAAAACCACCAGCCACTCCTCAGAAACCCTACACAGGGTGGCTATGAGTCGGTACCCACTCCACGGCACTATGCAACAACAGAACACTGTACCTGTTCCTTGCCCAGGTGCCTGCGATTACCACCTTAGGGACCCCCGATCATAGCCACCTCTGTGACCTTGTGTCTTTGCTTCTGAGTACTCCGAGGGTCCTCAACCCACGGGTATGAGCGACCACACTCTAGTATCGGTATAACTGTTCCCATGGAGGCCAGTCCGAGTGCCATGCAGGTATCTGCCGATTGATTGCTCGATTGCTCGGCCCCAAAGGCCCAGCCGGAAGGGAGAAGAATTTTGTTATTCTAGCAGCAAACAAGTGGGGGTGAGGAGGAGGGGCGTCCTCCGCGTCGCCCAGGCGGGAAAGGGGCGCCTTCGTCGGCTTCCGGCCGCCTCCTGCGGCCACTACCTGGACCTCACTCCGGCCGCCGGCACCTAGGTGCGCCCAGGTGTGGGACTAGGCGCGGGGTCGGGCCTGAACAACAACAGGGTTGGGGGGGCTCACCTTTCTGGCCGCTGAGCGCCGCGTACCAGGAGAGCGAGAGGAAGGCGCACAGGCAGAAGAGCAGCAGCGTCAGGAAGGTGCCATTTCGGAGCCTCATCTCCTCGAGTGCGCGGCGGGCGCCGGCGGGGCCGAGGCCTCATGGCCCGGG